TCCCAGGGGTGTTTCTGGTCCCAAAAGGTGTTTCTGGTCCCCACCTGTCGTTTTGCTCCTCAGCATGGCTGCCTAAAAACACTGCAGGATTTCTCAGACATGCATGGATGAGTCAAAGCAAGGATTTGGCCATGTTTTTTATGAGATTATAACATTATAAAATGATATAAAACTCAAAAAAGTTGATTTTACATGATATTGCCTCTTTAATAGAGTGCTCGATGGGGGTGGGGGGGGTGAGAAAAGAAATGAAAATAAATATGCAACATAAGCATGACAGTGAATATTACTTCCTTAAAAGTTCATGTTTATTTTATTTTACTGTAAAATGTGTTGTGTGTGTGGGGGGGGTGTGTAGCTGGTATTCATCTGAAAAATTTATCTGCAGACAGAGGCCAGAATGTCTTAAAAATGTATTTCCTGTTGCAGCAGGACGTTAACGAAGTAACAGTTCGCCACCATTAAAGAAACGATTGAGGTGAAAACAACACCTACAAGCTCTAAAATTAAACTATTAACATCTTACCTGTTGTGGATGGCTTTTTTAGACCACCTCAGTTTGGGGAAATAATGAAATTATTTCAAAAAATTTACTTATCTGAACTGGAGTTGATCAAAACGTGAAACAGGTAAGATTTTAGTTATATATCATCATCAAAACAGGGCTTACATGTCTGAGTAATTGCTTTGTTGGTTGGGTTGTATAAAACTACAACGACAATAAAGATTACTCTATTTTATTCTATTTCCAGAGCAGCACAAGCAGCATCAATGTCATTCTTTATTATTGTTGACTGAGTCTGAAATGTTCCAGGGATTCTAACCTGCAACCTTTCAGGGCAACTATGTCCAGGCTACAGCCTCCCCACCTGCTGAGGTTTGGGAAGGGAAGTCACAAAAAGGAAGAACAATACAAGTTATGGCGGCGAGGGAAGAGGAATGATGATGGACGACGGTTTTGATTCACTCTTAAAAAATCCTTTAAAATTCTCCTCGATCTTCACAGAAACAAAATCTGTTGTGAGCTGCATGCATGCTGCTCACTTTCTCCAAAATATGCACAGGCTTTGCATGTGAGGCACGCACACACACACACACACACACACACACACACACACACACACACACACACACACACACACACTTCAGTATCAGGCTGGCCATCGTGAGAGCTACAGGAAGTTGGCCCTGCTACAGTTTCCTGTCCACCCCTCTGAYGGCTCCCCCCTTTTCCTGGAAGCTGAAGACAGAGTCCATCACACACCCAAAACAGCTGCAGGGACACAAACACACACCGACACACACTTTCCTCTCTTTCTCTCCTCCTGTAACAATCCAACGCTCAGACGCTCGCCTCGTTCTGTCTGCACAGAAACAAGAAGTGAGCGAAAACGTCACAGGCTCCTCTTCCCTTTCATCCTTATCTCACCATTTATCTCAACTCCTCTTTTTTTTCTGCTTTTTGCTCCGTCCGGCTGACGATCATAAACAAGAGTGATACAATAAAAGACTTGTATTCACCCGCACACACACTGGGAAGTGTTTTCAAGTCAGAGGAACAAGTCATTGTTCTCCACTAAGTTCCTGTTGAGCAGATATACTCCTGCCCTCATCTCGTCTTCCTCTCTCTGCTCTGTGAAAAATAACCACAACTACTGTTTAATCATTTAAATAAAACGTCTAGACTTCCTTTAAGAAATGCATATCATCCTTCCATGTCAGAGTTTTAAACTAAATTCTAAGAAGTTGCTGCCGTTTTGGTCAAACCTTGTAAATCGTGTGTCAAACTCAAGGCCTGCGGACCAAATGTGGCCTGCCATGACTTTTGCCTGCGAGAGCTTCAAAGACGTATTAATGTCTTAAAATAAGCATATGCTACTTGAAAGTCAGAACTGACTGTAAACAATATCTCCCATTATGAATATTGATTGTTTTACCTGTGAAATAACAGCATCCCACCACTAGGTGGCGCTGCACAAAGTTCAAAATTGTCCCACGAAAGTTACCATGTAAAAACATAAGGTTATGAATATAACCACGGTTCCTTGAAGGAATGGAACGAAGTCCAACACACAGTTGTATATGGGACACAGGCGTCTGGCTGAAGCCACCTCTAATCACGTCTTTAGACCGGTGACGTGGAGACGTTGAACGTCAGGTGACAGGCTCCGCCTTCACCCTATAAAGTTCGGAGTCACCAGCGTCATTACTCAGTTAGATACCGCCCTTCACCGAGCCTTTTGTGATGCGGGGCCAACAAGGTGTTGGGTTACAGTTGGAGACGTGTCGCTGCTGCCCTCCACTGGATGGGGAAGGGACAACATTMTTGACTGTTGCCCGCAGCTTATTGTGTTCGTTTGTGCACAAAGATAATTCTTTAATGACACATTGAAAACATTTGCAGAACTGTTTATTAAAGTTTTGCATTTTAAAACACAATTTGCACCCAGGGAGGGGGCTASACATTTTTTGTTTATTTTTCGGGACATTAACAGACTGAACATTTGAAACCCGACGCCTCTTGGGGCCGTTTTCTGAAACACAAACATTTAAATGTCTTTTCAACTGCAGCTGAACATTGTCTCTCTGTTTTTGAAGTCCCTGTGAAGACAGTCCTGACAGACTCGGAGGGGGGCCTCTGCTCCATGCCGATTGACAGGGAGGCTGCGGCTTGCTGGATGGTTCGGCGGGCTGGGCCTTTGAAGTCCCGGGCATCGCCGCCTTCTTGAATGGAGGAGGATGAGATGCAGACCTGGATGTGCTCGGGGCCTTGGGCCTCGCGTCGCRTCTGGGGATGATGCAGCGAAGTGCCTCAGCCTGCTTCTTCCTCTGTTCAAATTTGGTTTGGATGACGTCAAGCGCTTGACCAAACAGTCCTGTAGGCGTTATCGGTTCATCCAAGTAGACCGCTCTGTCCTTGTCGGGAACGTCTGAGAGTGGTAGCCATAGGTGCCTCTGCGCCACCACATTAGAAGCCATTCCT